GCCAACAGGGCGGAGCTGCTCACCCTGCGGCACGTGGTGGACGAGGGCGCCGACGAGTACAAGGTCATCATGCTGCACCGGAGCTTCCTCAGCTTCAAGGTGATCAAGGTACCGAGCAGGTCCCGGCGCCCGGGCCTGGGCGTGAGCAGCAGGAGGGGCTGGCACGGGCGTCTGTTCACAGACAGTCTCAGAGCGGCCACTCCCGCCTCCGATGACCAGTGCACAGGCGAGGGCTTTGGCAAGCCCTGGTAGAGGCACATCTACTTATTTTTAAAGCCCGGCCGACAGATCTTTCTCTCAGAACTACTCCTGGGCATGAGAACTTCCTTCCCAAGGGCTCTTCCTTCCGTCATCTTCCAACCGCTGGCCACTGGCTGAAACACACACTCGCCTCCTCTCCTTTGCTCCGCGTTTGCCCTGGGAGTGGCATCGCTCCCCCGGGCAGGCCTGCGTGGTGCCCGGCCACACAGCCAGCTCTGGGCCAAAGCGGTGCAGCAGAGTATCTATACCTCACCAGTCTTGTTTCTACCAGTTAATTAAAAGCCCAAAATATGATTGCCACCTTTTTTCAAGATTTAACTCTAAATCATTTTCTCTACAGTTATTACAATTTGCGGGCAGCAGCAGGAGCTCATCTTCCTGCGCAACCGCAACCCGGAGCGCGGCAGCATCCAGAACAACCGGCAGGTGCTGCGCAACCTCATCTGCTCCTCCTGCGACCAGCCCCTGGGCTACCCCATGTACGTCTCCCCGCTGACCACCTCCTACCTGGGCACCCACCGGCAGCTGAGGGGCCTCTGGTGCGGCCCCGTCACGCTGGACGGCCTCCGGGCCTGGTTCCGCACCAAGTGGCTCAGGTAGGTCCCGGCCCCACAGCATCACCTGGGCGCTGGAGAGGGGCCGGCACGAGCACTCGGCTTCCGGCTGGGATTTCATGGCCATGGCCACGGCCACGTTCTCATGTGGCTACAGCCGCCATCCCCAAGTGCCACCTACAGAGCGCACGTCTCAATCAGCAGTTTCAGGGCTGGTCGGCGAGCAGCTCGGCCAGAGGGGCATCCGTTCTCTCCTGCGTCCCCACTCCCATGTCCCCATGCTGAGCGCCTGCGTGAGAGCTCGCAGCTGCAGAGGTTCGGGGTCTTTAGGACCCACACCTGCCGCAGGCATAGGCTGGGGTCCCCAACGCTCACCTCTCAGTCAGTCTCCTCCCCTGGTTGTGTCGGTCACTGGTTAGTTTTTTTGTCTATTTTTATTCATTTCAGAGAGGGAGAGAAACATCAACGATGAGAGGATCATCAATTAGCTGCCTCCTGCACATCCCCTACTGGGGACCGAGCCCACAACCCGGGCATGTGCCCTGACCTGGCATATGATCATGACCTCCTGGTTCATAGGTCAACACATGACCGCTGGTTACTTGGAGTGAATTCGAGGAAGTTCTGTCTGAATGTGGCCCCTGTCCTCCGGCTCAGAGCTGAGGTTCTGTGGAAGGTTGAGGCCGGAGCTCACGGGTGCGGCTGCGGGGGTTTCCTTGTTAGACTGAGATCTGGAGACCAGAGTCCTCTCTCCGCCTGCCGCCCAGGCGTGCAGTTCACCCGCGGCGTGGCTCCTCCTGGGTGGACGTGGGTGGGGGCGTTGGGGGTTAGAATGTCCTGGGGAGAAAGAACCCCGGCAGCGTCTCTCCGTCACAGGATGCGCAAGGACTGCCATGCCGAGCAGCGTGCAGGCGGCAACATTGAGGACGGCGACGCAGGGGGGGCCCCGTCTGCAGGCGGCAACAGCGCCCCGAGTGGGGGCAGGCAGGAGGGCGGCACGGAGCAGCCCGGAAAGGAGGGGACCCACCACTGGTCACCCCGGGAAGGGACACGGAGCACAGGTGGGTGCAGCGGACTCGGGGTTGCTGAGAGGCCGGGGGCCCCGTGACCTCCAGGGCCCGTGTTGCTGAGAGAGGCTGGGAATGTGTCTCTGGAACGTGCTGGCACCGGGTGGTCCTCCCTCAGCGGCAGCGGCACGGACCTGCCGTGATGGCCGAACCTTCGGGGCACAGCCCGCGCTGCGTAAGCCCCAGCAGAGGCCTGGCCCTGCCCGGCTGCGGGGAAACTACATCGCTGTCCCCGTTCTCACTCGCCGGCTCCCCTCCTCCCTCCCCTTCCTCCGCGAGAGGAACTTGTCCGACTAGTCAGTAGGGACTCTGCAGAGGGGCCTGGCCCGGTGACCCCCCCGCCCCACACTCCCCGCACCAGCACAGGTAACCCCGGGCCTGCGGCCCAGGCAGCTCCATGGGGGTGGCCCCTTTCATGGTTCTGTCACTGTGTGTGGGAGGCACAGGCGCCCAGGCCCTGCACAGGGGTTAGTGACTAGGGGTGGGTGACGCTGCTGGCGTGTCGGACCAGGACTCCCAGGAACGGGCGACTTCAGTGTCAAAGCCAGGAAAGTCCTGGCAAACGGGGTGGGTCCCTCACCCTGGCTGCTGCCCCCACCCATGCCTCCCGCCAGCCTTGGGGCTGCAGGGGTCTGGGTCAGCGTGCGGCTCTCAGGGAGACCTCCGTGGGGCCCAGGCAGAGCAGGACGCCCACCTCCCTGCCGGGCGCTGACGTGGGTGCCCACCCGCATGCCAACCCGCGCTGCTTCCTTTAAAGGCCGGAGGAAGGGCAGGAGCCAGTCTGTCCAGGCCCGCGGGGCGCTGAGCCCAAGGCTGCCCTTCCTGAGCTCGTCGGGCCCCATCCTGGAGAGCCGCCCGGCCTTCCTCCCCACGTCCTCCTCGGCCCAGGGCTTG